GGGGGGGGGGGGGGGGGGATAACCCCCCCCCCCCACACGCCTGTGCACGAGCGCGGAACGAACTTTCGGAGACCCGCGCAGATTTCGTGAGGTCGGACCCTCCTCCCCCACCCCTGGCGCGCTCCGCGCGCGGTGTGGGGAGGCGGGTCCTCCGCAGACCCCCCCAAACAACGTGTGGACTTCCAGAAGATTGTGTGTCGGGCCTGGCATTGTGAAATTCCCTGGGCCTTCGCGATCGCGTCGAGCTCCTCCTGACGGAGCTTCTGCCTGGCCTCGAAGTCCGCCGTCTTCACGCCGCACAGCGCTCGCGTCTCCATCAGGTACCTCTTGTCCTCGTCCCGCTGCGCCGTGGTCTCTGCCAACTCGCCCTGGGCCTCTGCCAGCGCCTCCTGCGTTTGCGCGCGCGTCTCCGTTTTCTTCGAAATCTCGTGCTCGGCGTTCTCCATGTTGTCCGCCAGCTGCTGGAACATCTGCTCGAACGCGTGCTGCGCCTTCTTCTCCTCCATTTCCATCTCGTACTTGTTCTCGCTAAACTCCTTCTTGAGTTTCTCGAGCATGTCCACCACGCCGCCAGACTGGAACTCGTACGCGTAGGCCTCGGGCGCGCTCTTGAAGAGCTCGTCCGAAGGCATGGCCTGGAGGAACAACAACTTGTATCAACAGAATAAATATGAGGTCCGCGCGGTTTTCTTGGATCGGCGCCGCAAGGGGGGGGGGCCCAGCGCCGATCCCAGAAGTCCGCACGGAACTCTAAATGTTTATGTTTACGCCGCTGTTTCTTCTTATTATCGGGGATGGACAGACCTCCCTTTGGTAAAACGTGATTTAGTGAAAACGACCTGAGCCCAAACCTGGCGGGCGCAAGCCTGGAAAATAACGGCCGCGGCGCCCTCTCGAGAGCCGAAAACGGACAATTCACTAATCGACGTGTCACTGTTGGGGGTTCTGTCCAGCCCCGATCTTAGTGTTCTTGTTAGTATTGTATGTTTCTTCTTCGAGGGAGGGTGGCTGAGTATGAGACGGTCGTCACGCCACCCAGCCCTGAGCCGCACGACCAATTCACTGCGGGGTGCCTGCGTCTGCGCGTTTCTGGCGGAGGGCCATCCTGGCGACCGAAAATATGCCCAACATGAAGGGGCCCTGGGACACACAAATAAATACACACTAATAAAAAGATTCCCCATAGTTTCCCATATTTTCTAGGTTCTTGTCTTCACCCCCACTTCCCATATTTTCCCAAATTTTCCTGGGAGTGGACGATTAATTGTGTCTGTGTGTTTTTCCCCTCCTGACAACAGAAAGTAATGCTGCTGTCGCTTACCATTTGTTCTTCTTCGATGGCCTCGACGTCCGGCTGCAGGAGCTGGATGAAGGAGGCCACGGCGCGCTTGGTCGGGGCCGGAGCGAGCCTCAGCGCCTGGACACG